TGAAGAGGATCTCGAACGTGGGTTTTCAGTTGATTGCTGGGGTGCACCGGAGGCGGAGACTCGAGAATCGCGTCGTCGTTCGGCTTCTTCCCTCGACATGGTGATTCCTTTGATGAAATTAATGAAGCGCTCTCCGTAGGTCTCTGGTGGGATTGGAGATATTTGTGTCCGATCATGTGAGAGTCCTTTGAAAAAGTTCTCAAGTTTTTTAGTGGTTCCATAATGAGTCAGGCAATCAATTATACCGAGATAATAGATCTCATCCCCGGGTTGGCCATTCTCATGAGTGGCTCGGAAACCTCCATCATCCGCGTAGAAGACATGGTATTTCCGTTCATCGAGGATCTCATCTGGCATCTTCGCAGCTGCTTTGTCCAATGGAACAGGCCGTTCGCGTTTGATAAGCATGCGCAGCTCCCGGGCCTTGCGTTCATTTTCCAATTTCGATGGAGTGCGCATGAGGTTGTTGGGAGTCGTATCCTCTTCGCGGTTACCTCCTGGCTGGAAGACCTGAAGAGTCTTGTCACGCAGTTTCTCTTCATTACCCCTGCCCGCATCATGGATTCCTACCAGAAGAGAATAGTCCATGATCTTGAGTCTTTGAAGCAACACAACGTCGCGTTTCAATTGCTCAATGAAGAATTCTCGTTTTGGCGGGCCACATTCCAAGTGACGGTTGCGACGAACCCAGTTCAGGTCCTTCATAGTCGCTCTGGGGTTTCTCTCGAGATCTGACTCTTGCAAATCACGACCAATCGTCGAGCCCTTCAGGTCGAATGTCTGGTGGATATCCCGGTGGGGCGGAAACAGGTTGTTCATCACAACAAAGTGGATCTTTCGGCCGTATGCCATCTTGACTCGGTGCAATCCGTAGAATTGTGAGATCAGTGTGTTTGGGTTGTTCTCCACGTGTCGGTAGTACTCGGGAAGAATCTTCCGCAGAAGCTTGTGCTCGGAATGATGAATGGTCTTGATGATGTACTTGTAGTCGCGTGAGAAGTAAAAGAAGCTCCCGCTCTTTCCGGGGGAGCCCAGTTCCGACAAAATGTACTTGCTTGTGAGGGACATAAGGTAATCGGCAGGATCGAGACGGAACTTGGCGCGAAGGTGTCGGAACACCCAAGGTGCGTAGTCTTTGAACTTGAAGTCGTATTTCGCGGAGGGAATCAGCTCGTTTCCGGTTCTGCTGCTGTCAGTCATATCCAAGTTGTCAATATTGAAAGGGGTGCGCACATGTCAAAGGAGAACTTGTGTTTGGCATCAAAGTCCGCCGGGGTGAGTTCCCGGTCCATTTTCGCGTTGATTCTCGAGACCGTGAAGCGGATACCAGTCAACATGTTATATGCCGTCACATAGTTGACGTGGTTTTGGTCGACCTTGGTGCCGACAATCACCCGCTCGTCATCCTCCTCTTCGCGGCGTCGTCGCGAGGCTCGCCTTTGTTTGATAGCTTCGGCCCATCGGTTCGCATCTTCATCCGGCGGTGCCTCATCCAAAGTGATATCTTGCTGGGTGCTGTTCTTCGTTGCCCGTCTGATCAGACCGACCGAGGCGCGTCGGAAGCCAGTCGTCGGTGACATTCGGCCAGTGCTGTACGCTGCGTCATCGGTGTATTCTCGGCTATCTCTTCGGACACTAGGCGTTCTCGGAACCTGCAATGAATGTCGTTGTCGCATACTGGAGTTCTGCGATTCTGGCATGGAAGCAGCGTCGAGTGTGGATGAGGCAGGAGGGGAGGAGTGGCGTGGTTGGCCGGGCTTCGAGTTCGGCGTCAGGCGATCAGGGTCTGGGGAATAACGGCCGGTCTCATCCTGCTGCGGGATTTGTAAAAGCGAGGCCGATGGCGAGATCGAAGTCTCATCGGCGTTGGGTGGATGAACGTCTCCATTGACCATGAGTTTCTGGACAGGTCGACCATTTGCCGTGCCATTGGGTTGTTGGGTGGAAGGGGGTGCTGTTGTGGAAATAGTTCCCGGTCCAGTGTCGGAAGTTTTACGGTCCAGCATAGCGGACGGGCGGCCGTTCTCGCGGGGATCCCTCGTGGATCCATTGCCTAGCGAATGCATGCTGCCGTCCTTGGACAGGGGCACTTCGCGCGTGTATGAGCCGACACTAGAGCGAGGGCCATTCAGGGAGTATGCACTACCGTTCTTCAAGTCGGTCAGAAGGTGTCGGTCATTCTGAGAGTCGTGGTTCGCGTCGTTGCCGTCGGCCCAGTTGGTCCACAGGAAAGTATTTCCGACAGGGGTCTTGTCGTGCGACTTTCGAGATGATTCGAACGAGCGGGGGTGGGTAGCCGTGGCCGTGGCAGACTGATAGGAGACGTCGTTGGAAAAGGCTGGCATGTTGAATTTTCAGGGAACGGGGGTGACGTGAGTTCTGCGTGGACCGGCAACCCGAAGTGACGGCAGTCGCCCTTATTGGCGGAGAATCCAGGAAAGTTGTGAACCAGACGGAGTTCCAGATGATAGGAAACAAAGAGAGTATAGAGCCAGTTGCCCAGGGCGAGGGTATTCAACCGATCAACATAATTCAGCCAATACAAAAGGGGAAGGGTAAATGAGGTTGTTAGAATGGGGGAAATATGGGGGGGAGAAGGGAAGTTGGTTGTCTGGGAGAAAAGAATTACACGTATGTACGAAATGTACCCTCCACTATTCACATCTTCAATGTTGCTATTTGAATTTCTTCATATTTTTTAAGATGTTTATATGTTTAAATCGATAATACCTTTAATTCTTTACTTAGGGAATCTGTTCATAGAGATATAGAGATATACGGAGTAGATATATAGATATCATTATGGTGGTTGGTATGTAATATGGTAAAATACCAGGGTAGCAGGCTGCTGCATAAAAAACTCGGATGTTCAATGAGCGCGGTTTAGCACATCATATTTTCATATTTTCATATTTTCATTTGTACTGTACTCTTCAATATAAAATTGCCAATTTCATTGGTCTCTCTCATTTCCATACCCCTCAGTTTCAGTTGTTTATGCAAGGAGGTCTTGTACAAACCCGTACAATACTATCTACGGAGTACTCCGTAGATTGAGTCTTTATAGTTATATCAAGGCAAGGTGGACATGGTGACATATGACAAATACCATAACAGTCATTGTTCTGTACTCTGTATTGTGTATTGTGCATTGTGTATTCCATACAGATCAATACACTGGGGAGATGCAGGACCAACGGTGGCGACCAATTAAAATGTCAATAAGCCTATCTGGTGTCCCTGACCCTGCAATTTCTTTTAGTTCAGCCCTGGGAGATAAAAGAATCAGACAATGTTCTTCTACTCCGTACAACTTAGCACGACTGTCTCTATACTGTATACTCCATACTCCGCACACACTTCAAATTCCAAAAAGAGGGCTCCATAATGAAATCCTCTCCTGCGCCACAGGGGAAATTCTCCACTTCCTATACAAATAATACAAAGATACAACGATACAATGTAATAAGGATAATCCACCGGCATCCCCGAGCTCCGGGGTGAAAGTATTGCTAACATCCGAGCCGATAGTAAAAATAGACAGTCGATCTCTAGGTTGTATTCCGTACGGAGCAGAAGGACCCGATATTGTAGGGCATCCGTGTGCAGATCCAATTTTGAAGGGCTAATCCCCATATAGGAGCTAGGAGCTATCTACGGAGTATAAAGACATCCGCTTTGTCATCCACCAATTATCCTATTTTCCACTTTTCCTGCCGGACTCCAAAAAAAATGGCGCAATCATATCTCTGCACGATCCCTACCTTTAACTTTAACCTATCACCTTTAACATCCTGGCATGACCATTTAGAGATCGTTATCATATACCTTATGGATCGTTACATCTCCATGTGTGCGGATGGCAAGGTAGGATTGAACCAAAATTTCTGCTTCGCACGACTTGGGTAAATTTAGAACGTAGTCCAAGCATCTATTCATGAAATATTTTAACAAGTATATGAGTTCCCAAACTGCCGATGACTACGGAGTATGTATCAGATAGTTCCAATCAAATAAAATATGGGTCTGACCAAGCTTCCGAGGTTCCCTCATTCCCCGTCGAATCTGTGCATGTATAGACTCTACTGGGTAAAGAGACCACGCCAATATTTCGCTGTCCAAATCCCTTCAATTTTCTTCGATTTATTTTCTTTCCCTACTACAGAGTACCCAATCCCAAGATCACACTCAAACAAGATTAAATCATACAATAATGAAGTGTGGAGTAATTAGATTTGCTTTTTCCATCACTCTTTTGCCGCCGAACTATCAGACGCCGAGACTGCGTGAGGTAATTAGCCATTTCCGTCCTAGCTGAATTTAAGAACAAAGAAAAACAGCCTCACCGCAACCTACTCTATCCCTTTGCATGATCCCAATTTAATATTGTGACCTCACTTGCATAGGTCACATATCATGTGCTATTTGGGAAGGATCTAGTTCATCGTTGGGCGTCAAACTTGATTTTGTCGTGTCCTATGCTGAACCAACTTGCCCTATTCGGCATGTAGACAGGCAGGGCATGACCCGCTGATCTCTCCAACGTTGTTCTCAAAAAGAGGGAAAGGATATAGTACAAATCTCGCAGGATCTCAAGTCATTTTCCTACCAGGATAGTTGGTGCAAGCCGCCATAATAGGTAAAAAAAAAGCCATGTCAAGACTTGAATTTGGTAGATCCAACAGTCATGGCCTTCCAGTGCGCTTCCCACTAGAGTCAGTCACATAAGTCAATATGTAGGATAGTGATGGTTATCCACTAGGCAGACGCCGATTTACACCACCACATTCAAGCGAGATAAATTGACTAGGTACAAGGAACTTGAAGTTCAATGAAAGGTAGAATCACTAACATGGGTCAACGCCTTCAAATGCGAGAGTCCAGGTAGGGGAACTTCGAGGGACTATTTAGTTCCTGTATTGACCTGCCAGTGTCCTACAACTGCTCACGATCGAACTCCCAAGTCTTTTATCCACTGTGTAATATTGACCACCACTACCATGACTACACACAAATCGCCCAGTGACAATGCTCGAAAGGTGTGGAACCATGAGTTCACTTGGACGGATAAGCATTTCACACCCGAAGAACTGCTACCTTTGAGACAGGAGACCGATGATCTAGCCGTTGATGCTGTGAGCCGACTACAGGCTATTGCCGTGAAGAACAAGCATAGCATGGGACACGGTTTTGGTCGATTCGACATGTACAGTGTCTTGAAGGAACATCATGGAGAAGACAGTGTGTTACAAGGACTCTGGGAAGAAGTGAACGCCGTCCCTGAATGGGTTGATTGGGCACAAATTGAGCGTGGACAAGAGTTTTTCTATCGCTACTTGATCCCCAATATTACCGGTCTGGCTCTTCAAGGATTTCTCGGAGGCACTGCAGTGAGAAACACTTGATATCCATATTGGTCTACAGGATACTGCTGACTTTCAAAGACAATTGCAGGTGGAACAGAAGTCCTCGTCAGAACAGGAGGTTTTTCTCTTCGAGTTATGCCCAGACGGTTCCTCGAAACCTTCCTATGGCTTCTGCAGGTGACAATGGATCCGAAGTCTATTCAGCCAGGCGGAGAGGGACACACTTCGACCGTGCGTGTTCGGCTATTGCACGCTACGGTTCGCAACCGTATACTGAAGCTCATGGATCAAGACCCGACATACTTCGATGAAGTCAAGTATGGTGCAGCTGTCAATATGAGAGACGCAATCCATGCAACAGCTATCTTCTGTTGCATGCCGCTCTTCCGTCAACTTCCCAAGATCGGCATCCAGCCTCGTCCGCAGGAGATGGCGGATTTCCTGGCGCTGTTCCGATACATCGCGTATGTCATGGCGACTCCGGATAGCTTCTTCGATGGCACGGAACAGTCAAAGGCTACTATGGAGAGTATCATGATGTGCGAACCTGAGCCGACAGAGTCCTCCAAGTCTATTGGGGCGAATTTCGTCGCTGCTGTCCAGGATTATCCAGGCATTAATGTGTCCAAGTCAATGATCGAGGTTGGTTGTCGTGTATTAAGTGGCGATGAGTTGGGAGATAAGATGGGATTTTCCCGGCCTGGGGTGTTTTACAAGGCCTCGTTCAGAGGCTGGTGCCAACTTCTTGTGGTTATTACTGCTCTTCAGCGGTTGTTTCCGGGCTTTGATCGAATACTTATGAAGGTGAGTTGCTAGGGAGGGGGAATGATTAGTTCAGCCACCAACAGACTGCTGATATCTTTCCACAGAAATCGAAGGAGTTCGTGCTCGTCAACGTGTTTGGGGCGTCAATTTTGAAAGAAGGGAACAAATTCGAGTTCACTCATCAACCACAGCTGAATAAATTCACCAAGAGAGAGACTAAGACAGACATCAACCTCTCCCGGTTCAGGCCGGTGGAAGCGATCGGGTTTGCTGTCTTCCTAATTGAATGCCTAGTTTATGCCCTGGCCTTGGGCATGCTGTCATATGTTCTCAGCGCAAATGGCATGGTGTCTCAAACTCTTCTCAATGTCCTTGGAAAATGTGCTTAAATTCCTATTCAAGTTCTTCAGTGGCATCTGCTGCTTCAGTCATTATATCCCTGAGGTTAAAAAATGATAGACATTTTGCGCAGCCTCTGACATCAGGTTGACTATCTCGTTTTATTACACTCATTTACTGTTTTTTATCCAATGATTGTAGGGATCAAATAAAACACCGGTACCCGATCGTAAGAACCTGTATTCGTTATGTAAAGTGGCTCAAGCCAGGGCTTAGGATGCATCATCATCTTCGACAAATTGACTTGTTCATGTTGCATTCTTGTCAATAACCTAAGACTAATACCAAAATTCGTATGAGAATAATAAAGCTTGTTTCAGTCCAACGATACAAAGATACCAAGATGAAAGATCTACTGTTTAAACTCCAACATTCGACCAAAACCAATTTGAACTTCACATTTAAAATGGAATTAATCGCAATATCAAGGTAATAAGAAGATTGCAGTTCCCCCATCGCAAACCCCACCGCAGGACGCCATCCATTGAGCTTTAGAAAGAAGTAAAGCCATCATAGCAAAGATACCCAAAAAAACAAAACAAAAGAGAAACAAAAAAAGCCAAGGAAATCATCAGAGCCACAGAGATCAATGAGTCCAAAGAAAGAAATTACAGGAGAAGAACAAAGGAATCAGTACCAGGTACTCTCCCTGGAAATGCGCACGTGAAAATATAGGGAGAGCTCAACCTAGTGAAAACAAAGAGACCAAAGCCTCTACTTCTTGGTGGTCCGCTTCTTGGGGGCAGCCCGGGTTGTTGTTGGCTGCGGGGCAGTAGTCTTGGTGATACGGCCAGACTTGGTCTTTCCCAGGATCTTGGGCTGCTCAACGACAGCAGGGGCCTGGAATGTTCGTCAGCAACGGGTCGATCAAGGGGGGAGATGGACTGAACATCCGGAATCAACTTACGGCAGTGGAAGTCTTGCGGGCCTTGCCAGAGTTAGCCTTGGGCTTGGTGGCAGTGGGCTTCTTGGGTGCAGCCTTCTTGGAAGCGGCAGCCTTTGTGGCAGTCTTCTTGGGAGCAGTCTTAGCGGGAGTCTTATATTAAAATTAGCAGGGACCACAGGAATACATCCTCGCTAAGCTTACCTTAGCAGTGACCTTGGTAGAGGCCTTAGGGGCAGTCTTGGCGGCAGGCTTCGCAGCAGGCTTCGCAGCAGGCTTAGGAGCAGGCTTAGGAGCGGCCTTGACAGGAGCATCCTTCTTCGCAAGCTTCAAAGGGCCAGATGGGCCTAGACGGTGACGCGTTAGTTAAATGATCAAATAACGGAGGAAACCATCTAAATGCATGCAGCGAAATGCCGAAGTTGAATCAAATTACGCAAAGTAAAATAGAATCAATGCGCGCAGGCAGGGTACATGAGAACTTACCCTTGGGCTGAGTGAACTCATTCTTCTCAACACCGGCCTTGATAGCCTTGTTGAACTGAGAGTCGAAGACGCTCTGAGAAGTGACGTTGATCTTGTTGTTAGCCTGAACGTACTTCTTGATAGCCTGGCGACTAAAATAGGGGGAGATTCAGTTAGTGGCTTGTTTCTAGAATAAACGGCACGAGAATCCGGGACCGATCCCAGATGCGTCGGCGGCGAAGAACACCAGAAACATACCTGCTACCATTGCGTTCTTTCAGCTATACGCAGAAAGGACAAAAGTCAGCAATGAGAACCATTAAAAAATAAGAATTGGTTTTGTTGTGGTTGTCCATGCCCAAAGGCAAAGACGTGTCACGGTCGGGCGCGCGACCCGAATCACAACAACCAGGTTGGCTCGCGCCGGCAGTGATCAACTCACGCTAACAATGGCATCCTTGATCATATCTGTATCGATCGAATCAGCAGATATTCGCGACGGGATTCATGTCCATATCACTTTTACGCGATGTGGTGGGCATTCAGGATCAGTGGAAACATACCGCGGTAGGAAGTGTGAGGAGCAGGCGCCGCCTTCTTGGACGCGCTGGTAACAACCTTCTTGGGAGGCATGATTGATGATTTGATATAAGGTTAGAGAAGGGAGAAGATGAAGAAGGTCAAGTTATCAGAAGACGAGAAGTAGAGAAAAAAGATGTGGTGAGAGTGAAAGCAGAAGAGGAAGAAAAAAGAGCAGAGGGAAAGGGAAGGCCGCGGGGCATCCGTGATTTATAGGCGACCGGTGTTGACAACAAGATCATCAGAGAGAGAAAAAAAGCACTTTCTTTTGGATTTTCTTTTGAAAAGTTATCTTTTAGCCGCTTCTTCTTTTTAATTAAATGTTGTGTTTCTTTCCTATCTTGCTGTGTTCTTTGCGAGTATCTCTTCGCGCGTTCCAACTTGGAAGAATGGCTGATGTCTACACATTCTCTCTCTTTTATATGGAATACTTTGAATATCAAGATACTTGACTATATTTGATCAATATCTATTAGAGTAACAGAAAAATTTACAAGATTTTACAAGATTATAACGCGATAATAGTCATATCAAGTAGTAAACTGGTACTTCTACGCGTCCCTTTTCCCCTCGATGGAAATCGCGCATACTCTATTTTGGAGGCTTTGGGAGCGATCACATATCTTCTCGGAGCCCGGGAGATCCTTTTCCTATAGCCACATTCCAATGCCGTCTGGGGTAACCATTTACTCTTTTCCCTCTTTCCTCGGGATCCAGCAACCCTTCTTTGAGAAGAATTCAAAAGCGAAAAAAACTGCAATAGTTCGCTATAGTATGACCTTTTATACCTATAACGTGCATCAAGGTCTCCTTGCTTAGACGTGGACCTGCATTACCTCGTGCTGAAAAGTCACGTTGTACATTTTAAACTTGTCGATTTCCATGGTACAACCCCTAGATGATGTCGACACTCGGCACTTTGGGAACGCATATGCAACTTTTATAAAACATCTACGGAGTATCTCAGAGTAAGATTAGAATAGGACATGATTCGAGTTCAATATTTTTGATTAGACAGACAATAATAGAAATAATAGTACAAAGTAGCAGAGCACTTGCACCTCAAGCAATACAGATCACAACATATATATTGTCGAAAACAACAGAGCAAATGAAGATATATTTTTATATTTTAACAAAATAACTGAATACCAAAGATCTCATAGCAGATCACAAGATTTACAAAACCCAAGTCCACCTTAGGATCAGTGTGGCACGCGATATATATCGCTCAAGAGAGGGGAAACCTTGGAAGCTCTCACCTGGGCAGCGGCAACGCCACTACCTAATCACATCAGGATCAGCAGACACAACCAATAGCAGACGCAGAATAGCCCCAATCTCACCATTCCCCGCTGATACACACCCATAAAGTTACCGAGAAGAAACAAGAAAGGTTGGGGCCTGGGATCGACCCGGGGGAGATGTATGCCGAGGGACCCATCGGACGAGCATGTTTTTGTCCCAACTCCGAACCAACACGAATAATAACAAAAATACAATCTAATTGGACTCAACCCCTCGTTTCTTACCGTATGATCCCAATTATTGGACCACCAGCGTAGCTGTGCGACGGGGATCATCGCATCTGTATCCGCAACCGGCGCGTCGAATCAAGGGCTCAGCTGGTGAGAACGCTGATCCTGCATCGCATGTGTTCTGGCTGCATCTTTTGAGGGGATAGATTGTTTGGGGCAACTGAGGCCAGCGTATATTTGCTGTATTCGAAGTGTTTGCTGCTTTCCCTCGTGAAGATCAGTCGTGGTTGGTGTTGTGAGGCCTCGACTAATCTCGCTAATCGGGCCCGATCTATACAACCCTCTACGCGAACGCTGAATCTTGACTCCCCTGAGATAGCTACACCAGAACATCTAAATATGAGATTTGATATGCTCATGTATTGACAATAGATAGGAGATAATAAATATAAGGGTTTTGGACCTTTCTGTCAACTGTAGCCCCGAGGATCAGACGGAATTTCCGTGTCTACTCTGCTTGATCTTGTCTGATCTCGACGTCCAAGGGACTGGAAAAAGATACTAGAACGATAGATCAGAATAGGAACACATATTCCTCCAGTTTTGTTTTAAATCAGACCACCATTTGCTATGATACATGGAATTTCATGCCATGTCCCGATCCGAGGCGAAACGGACATTCTCCGCACGAGTGAAAATAATGCATAAGAAATAACGAAATAAACCACAGAACGCCCACGCCAGTCCAGCTCATGTTAGATCAGGAAAGAATTTTGTATCATAAGTTGTTTTTTGACGGGAAAAAAAAAAGCATTTCTCGCCATCAAGAAACTAGGCCGCTCCACGCGGTTTCGACTTGGCTTCCTTCTTAGCCTTGGCATCGTCCTTCTTTTTCTTTTTTTGCTGCTGCAGCTTCTCGTCGTGCTTGCGCTTAAGAGATGCTTTCTCATCCTCAGTGCGGGCGACGGGCTTGAAGAATCCCTCCAGCCGGGATTGCTGAGCAGTCTTAAGGTGCTTCGACAGACGGGCGGCACCGTTGCGCACACGGTCTTCATTGAAGCCCTTGTCCCCAACTAGATACTCAATCAGGCCATCAACATTGGGAGCTTCCCACTTGAAGTCGCATTCAGGGTCGTCGGCAGGCCGGACATCCGGGTTGACAAATAGCTCTCGCGCATCTTCGTATGGCCAGTCCTCGGGAACTACAAACTTCTTCTTCGGGTCGTTCTTCATGAACTCTAGGACCTTCTCCAGAGACTTGTGCTCCTTGATTAGGCTAAGAGCAGTGGTGGCTCCCACCTTGGGAATAGGCTCTAGGTAGTCACAGCCCAGAAGAATGCAGAGATCGATGAACTGCATTGTAGATATAGTTAGCAGCCGTGATTACCCATATCACACTCAGGACACTGTACCTGTGGGCGGTCCATATCGAGACCCTCAAGCGCCCGATCTAAGTGGATCTCTTGGATAGGTTCCTTGCGCTGCTCACTGAACGTCAGGTGGCGCAGGAGAATCGGTGACTCAAAGCACAATGTATCCATATCCTCTGACGCAGCTGCGTACACCTTACCCGCACGAGCAAGAACAGCGCACTGGGCTTCGGCTTCCGTCGGCGCGTTAATGAAGGGGATTCCCATCAGCCCAAGGAGCTTCTTGCACTCCGCATTGTGTTCACGGGTGACGCGGACAGTCCGTCGTGAGAATTTTTCGATATCCTCCGCAGTTCCGGTTTCCTTCGCTTCTTCATGGGCCTCAGTTGCTTCGGCCTTGCGCGCAACACGCTTCGCCAATTCACCGGACTTGAGCTTCGGCGGGGCTCCGTCGAAAACATAGAGAGGTTTGATGCCGTTGTCCACCATCCGCAGAGTACGGTAGAACATGCCCATCAGGTGGGATGTGGTCTCGCCGGACTCACTCATGAGCTGTTGACCCTCCGAGCGCACGGCGATCAGGAAACTGTAAATGCTCATCGACCTATTCTGGGTTAGCGACTAGAGATTCTTGAGGTACCGGGACGGTGATCCAATAACGTACGCATCCTAATTTGAAGAGTTCATATGTTAGTATCTGAAAACAAATCGCAGATTATACAATGCATACAATTGCGACCTTGCGGCCGAAGTGATTCTTGATCTCGCCCGTCTTGATCGCATCGGGAGCATTCTCGGAGATAACTTGGTATAGGTCTGAAGCTTATTTAGCAAAGAGGGATGGATGATTGAGAGTAAGATACTTACGCTTAATACCCATCTTGAATGTGAGCTCAGGTTGTCTCAAGTTGGAATCTTGTATCTGTGTAGAAAGTTGAGCTTTACCTGTCGCAGTACGCGAACGCGCTGGGCTGGAAACGCGACACCATTTAAACCTAATTGGGTATAGTGTGCCACATGATCAGGTGACCGGACAAGCTTAGACCAATTAGTGCCTTATTTATGCCTGAATATGCATGTCTGCCTCAGGGGGCTAACCGGCAATGAGTAATTCGGGCCAGAACCGGCCGGTCCACGGGTGTCAAGCTGTTACAACCCCGCCTTTCTGTCTTCCCCGGAATGCGCCAGGAGGATGAGTCCAGCCTCCACACTAATATGAAGCGGAATCGCATTCAATTCGAGGCCAATGGCGACGCCTCGTCCGTTTCTCCCCCGCAGGGTGGCTTCACCCCGGAGGACCGCCCTCACCATGTTCCGAAGATCTCTCGACGGATACGAGCATGCACCGAGTGTAAGCGGCACAAGGTGCGCTGTGACATGAAGGCGACTGACTCGGTGTGCTCGCGGTGTCAGCGCATGGGACTGGAGTGTGTTGTGAATAAAAGCCTCCAAACATTACTGGAGGACGAAGCCGAGTGAGTGTCTTATCTTTGGTGTCTATATCGGTGACATATACTGATTGCGCCGGCTACGACAGGTGGAAATCAATGATCGAATCGGCAATGACAGACCTGCTAAGGAAATCCCAGCTACCAGAGCTATCATACTACCAAGCAGGCGGTGGTACAATCGAGACGCCTTCGAACAAAAGCGGCCGGAAAGACTCCACCGTTTCGACTGATGATATTGGATTTGCGCAACATAAAAGGATCGAGCCATCAGGCAGTACAGTAGGGAATAGCACAGCTGCAAGGTCAAACTATGGCTTCCCCCAACAACCACAACCAAGATATTCTTTGGACCGCGAGGAAACTGGCGCAACCTCTCTAGTCACAGCACCGATGGGCAGTTTATACGAGGTGACGCAGCTCAGTGAAAACCGCGAGAGCTCACCCGGACAAAAGCTTGCCCCTGATCAAGCACTGGTCACTGACCTCATCTCGCGTGGAGTGGTGGATATACAGGAAGCGGAGGAGCTATTTTATCAGTTCGACCAGGTACTTAACCGCTACCTATGGGATGGAGCTTTGCTAGCACATAAAGACTTGACGTCTGTCCGAAGGTCTTCATCAATGCTATCTGCTGCCATTTTGGCTGTCACCGCGCTTCACATGCCGGCCAAGGAACGCATGTTTGATACATGCTACACCGAGTTTGCAAGATTGGCATCAGAGTCTATGCTGGGCCATCATCACACCTTGGATGATATCCGTGCACTATGTATTGGAGCATTTTGGCTTGCAGATGTTAGCTGGAAGCTCTCTGGCTATGCGGTTCGCATTGCAACCGAGCGCAACCTACACCAGTTCTTTCGTAAAGCCACACAAGGGTCGCCAGAACACATGGAACAGGCGAGGCTGTGGTATCTCCTCTATGTGAGTAATCTGACCAAACATGCTGTTGTTTTTGCTTATATTTTTCAGACCTTGGAACACCACTTTTCTATTGCATACGGCCGGCCACCGATGATCCATGAAGATGCCAGTATCACTCAACACAATGTCTTTATACAAAACCCATCAGTTTCACAAGGAGACCTCCGACTTCACAGCCAGGTCGACCTGTTCATTATTCTCACCCGTATATATTTTGCATTCGGTCCAGATGTCGACTTAGAGGTCCCCGAGAGCGATTTCCCCAAGATTGATCAATATGATGTTGATATAGGGGACTGGAAGTCGGCATGGCTTCCTAGACTTGGTAAGTCTTGACTTCCTGAGACACTACTGCATCGTCTAATATATTACTACAGCGGGAAGCCGTTACGTCGGCGCATATCCATACAAGGCCGTGTATATGCACTATCATTTTTCTCGATTACAGCTGAACTCAGTTGCTCTGCGTACATATCACTCATCCACCTCCTCAGGACAAATGTCATTCGAACGCAGGAAGCGTGCCAACATCGCTGTTGAATCAGCCATTGCGACTCTCCAGGTTTGTCTGGACGAGCGGGATATCCAGCTGGCGCTCGTCGGTGTCCCACTATATCTCCACAGCATGATCACATTTGCTGCAGTCTTTCTGCTAAAAATTGCAGCCAAGGTTTGCTCGCACGGGGCAATTCCCGGGAGCCAGGGCAAACGGACCTCAATCGCCTCGGCAGGGCTACACGTTGACGTGAGCTACGTGCGTGTTCTTGTTGGCCGGGTTGTCGAGCTCATGGTGGCTTGCAGCCAGCGGGCGAGCGAGCGTCACCTGAGCCACCATATCGCTCGGGGTCTCCGCAAGATGCTAACTGGGCTTGAGGAGTGGGAGAAGCGCACCGCTGGTACCCAACAACATATGGGGTCATCTGCGCAGGATTCTCATTCTCTCTTCAAGCCGGTGGTCATCCCCGGAGCGCAAATGCTGGGTGAGCGTGACACTATTTTGAACCACCCGCCTCCATTACTTGGGGTGGCACCGCTGTCTGCCGAACGCAGCAATGGGTTTGAACCTCCCCTGACCCTAGGAAAGCAGGAGCCCGGTCTATCAGTGGGCTCGGTTGACCCTATGATGGCAGATCTGTGGGGATTCGACGAGGATTATTTCCCTACAGGGGTATTTGACTTCCTTCAGAGCCAGATGCCAGCGTGATCTACCTGAGGCTTGGGATGCTTTCCCTCGATATATTCTTTTTGTACATACATAACTAACGGCCGATGATTGACAACCACAGTTGTTGCAGGGGAATATGGATACTAGAAACATACATTTAGAGTGAACTATTAATGAAGTCGAGCTATATCTCCATACAAAAATGAACCATTTCCCTGATAAATGCCACTATGCCATTGAGCTAGCTCTAAAATCCACTCACCTCAAAGAAGTTTGCCACATTCATTTCAACAAGGCCACAAGAGTTGATACCAACTGTTGATCATAGATCATAGAGACCCATGCTGTATGTGTTGTAGGTTGAGGGTATATTTCGGTGCTTGGCATCGAGCCCACCCGGATGGACCGAAAAAGTCCGAGTCGGTTGAACATGCGGAACCAAACAGCCATTGCTCGGGGATTTTGTCGAATCATATTGCTCTGATCATATTGAGCTGCATAAATGCAAAGACCGAGTTACTGTTGATCTGGTAATTCTATCATTCCTGATATATTGTACTCGGTGATTTCATTTACCTCAAACCTGCGAAACTGCCGAGGTCTCCGTCATTTAGTGCATATTTGATTGAGCTCCCCCGCAATAATTGTCACCTCTTTTGTCCTCTCCACTCTGTACAATTGTGTCTCTTCTTTATCTTAGCCATGATGAACCGATCACTTCTTCGCGCAGCTGTGCGCTCAATTCAGGCTGGTCCTACCTCTGTGGCAGGCCGCCGGTACGCCTCCTCGGCCGTCTTCAACTGGGAAGATCCCCTCGCCGCAGCGGAGCTGTATACGGAGGAGGAACTCGCAATCCAGGATACAGCACGCCAATACTGCCAGGATAAGCTTGCGCCCCGCATTTTGGGTATGTTCAATCTATTTGCTTTGCTATTGTTTTGAAATGGTAAACTGACGTCAGTGATCCCTTGCAGAGGCCTATCGCAACGAGGATTATGACCGTCGAATCTTAGAAGAGATGGGTGAACTGGGTCTCCTCGGCGCTTCAATTGAAGGATACGGATGCGCCGGTGTCAGTACCGTGGCATCGGGCCTCATCACCAAGGAAGTCGAGCGCGTGGACTCGGGATACCGATCAGGCATGTCAGTTCAGAGCTCGCTAGCTATGACCGGTATCTACGAGTTCGGTACGGAAGAGCAAAAGCAGCGCTTCCTTCCTAATCTCGCTAAGGGCAAAATTTCCGGCTGCTTCGGTTTAACAGAGCCCAACCATGGCTCTGACCCTGGCTCCATGGAGACCGTGGCTCGCGAGCATCCCACCCAGAAGGGCATGTACCTGCTCTCCGGCAGCAAGACGTGGATCACGAACTCTCCCATCGCCGATATCGCGCTCGTATGGGCTAAGCTCGATGGAAAGATCCGTGGGTTTATCGTGGAGCGTGAGCGTGCGACCCCTGGGTCGTACGAGACCCCCGCTATCAAGAATAAGAGTGCCCTGCGTGCTTCCATCACTGGTATGATCCACATGGATAATTGTCCCGTACCAGCGGAGAATATGCTGCCCGACGTCGAGGGTCTCAAGGGTCCGTTTACGTGCTTGAACAGTGCCCGCTTGGGAATTGCCTTTGGTGCTATGGGTGCCCTGGAGGATTGTCTTGCCCGTGCGCGCGAGTACAGTCTGGAACGCAAGCAATTCAAGGGCAACCCGCTTGCCAAGTACCAGCTTATTCAGATGAAGTTGGCTAACGCGGCTACTGATGCTGCTTACGGAACTCTGGCTGCGGTTCAGGTGGCTCGTCTTAAGGATGCTGGCAAGGCTACACCTGAGATGATCTCGATGATCAAGCGTCAGAACTGTGACCGTGCTCTGGCTAATTCCAGAACGTAGGTTTCTCCGTCTTGGGGGTTTGTTTGATTTGCTTTACTAACGTTGGTAATAGTCTGCAAGAAATCTTTGGTGGCAATGCCGCCAGTGACGAGTATCACATTGCCCGCCATGTGGCCAACCTGTTTGTGGTGCAGACCTACGAGGGTCAAAGTGATATCCACGGTAAGTCATTCCTGCCTAAATGTGTTGGGCTGAGACTGATGCATGTTACCGATAGCTTTGATCCTGGGCCGTGCCATTACGGGCAAGCAGGCCTTCGTGTAAAAATAGAGAGAAAACACTTGTATATAGAATATATCCCAATTGAATGTCTTAAAGAGATAGAGATGTACTTATAATAGTAGCCAGTAAGGACCTCAATAGTAGCCTTGAGTAGTATATGGTCACGCTATCAAAAGCATACTTCCTTCCTCTTTAGGACAAGCGGGAAATTGCGGGCGCCTCACCCGCACGTGACATCATCGAGGGGCAGTGTATTAGTATCATGTGGTGTAATACGGGCTTTCAATACAGAGGTATATTGAAGTTGAAGGAGATTTGAATATCAAATCTGACCATTGAAATATTATATACGGATTAATGGAGATGATGTATTATTATAGGCTCTACTTGATTAGGCACTGCCCTCTCATTCACTAAACTGAACATTTGAAATATCTGCAAATGCTGTCGTGTGTATATGCCTTTGCCTAACCCCGCCAGATTCGATGATTCAGCCCTATCGAGGGGATTTGCCTTCTTTCATGAAACAATCAAATTTGATTTATCAAGACATTTATTTATACATGACTGATATTCTGTCCGCTTCTACCTCATTCTTCAATCCCTCAAATAAACATACACCATAGGTCATGTAACTTCAATGCTGAATCATGATGTGTCATCTCAGTGTGGCGCCCGGTATTCCTGTATTGGGCCGTACAATACCGACAGAATCGATTCCGCCCACCTGGGGGCACTTTTCCCCCCTCTTGAGACTCCCAATTATCTTCTTTCCCTCTTCTTTTCCACACAAAGACGTAATCGTAAGTCGACCTACTTTCTCTTCGACTTGAGAATCAACAACTGATCATCCATTACCCAGTTTCTCTTTAGTTTTTTACACTTTTCTCTTTGCTCGTCATGGCTCTCAAGCGTATTAACAAGGAACTCACTGACCTCGGCCGGTAAGCCTATCCTGATGCCATCATCTGCCCTTCATGAGTCTAACTCTCCTCTAGGGATCCACCCTCTTCCTGCTCCGCTGGCCCCGTTGGAGATGATCTGGTATGAATACTCGCTTTCTTGGTTGGCGCCGTGTGGCGGGGCACAACCGCCCCGGTGTTGAATCAGGTTGATATCAATGAGGGGATCATGGATGACTGACTTGTCTTTTTCTTACAGTTCCACTGGCAAGCGACCATCATGGGTCCTGTAAGTTGTTCTCGTCTCTGCTCTGGAGGACTTCGGGGGGGCCATCTGGCCCTCTGCGAGGTCCACAGATTCATCACCAGGTTCAAGATACTAATAGATCATATAGGGTGACTCCCCATACTCTGGCGGTGTCTTCTTCCTTGCCATCCACTTCCCTACCGATTACCCCTTCAAGCCTCCCAAGGTCAACTTCACCACTCGCATCTATCACCCCAACATCAACTCCAACGGCAGCATCTGTCTGGACATCTTGAGAGATCAATGGAGCCCTGCTCTCACTATCTCTAAAGGTGAGCAAGATACTTCCTTTCGTTCTCTACTACGCAAAATCTCTAACAACCCATAGTGTTGCTTTCCATTTGCTCGATGCTCACAGACCCCAACCCGGACGATCCTCTTGTGCCCGAAATCGCGCACGTCTACAAGACCGACCGACCCCGGTACGAGGCGACAGCCCGCGAGTGGACGCGCAAGTACGCTATTTGAGTGAAACGACAAATCTGATTCCTTCGCTTCTTATGTTCTTCTCTCTATCTCTCTCCCCCAATAACCCTCCTTGCGGCCCCTATCTCGCTCGACCACTTTTCATCGGTGTCATCTCAAACGTCGCTCTGCATCTTTCCGCTTTCTTTGCCCCCTGCTCTAGATTCAGAATCCGCGAAAGCCTGGCGTACCTATGGTCGTAGAAACTTTTTCAGTTTTTTTTCACCCCCAAACTCTTGTGTGTTGATTTCAAATGCACCTGTTCTTGCGCGCGTTTGCTTCCTGCTTCCGTGCCTAAAAACTGCATTTGCGCCGGGTTTGACCTTGTCTTGTTGGGCTGAGTTTCTGGGACTTTTCATATCCAACGATCCTTATGACAAATTCTCATGCATTCATGGCATCCATTTCTGCTCTTTTTCACACGCTTCATGCGTCTAGGATTGAATTATGGACTTTGCCAAGATTTCTCCAGTTCTTTTGCTTCTTTGCTTATACTAAGCGGTGCTTTGGACTCGGGTAATGCTTTGGGAGGTTCAGAGAGTAGTTCGAGATCACCTACTATGTGTCTTGCGTTTAGGGGCTTCTATCTTTTTTTTTCCTATCTTAAATAACACAATCTAGGCAGGCCCGTCTGTGTGTTGAAGAACTTTTGATACTAGTAGACTGTAGTTTGTAAATCGTGTACTCCGTACTGTTGGATTGATCATCGGTATATCAACTACTCTGTATAACTTCAAACACTGATTCACTTGAATAATGCATTCCACTTGCCCGACTCCCAACTCCATATATGTATGTATGTATGTATATCTATCTGTGTAAATGCAAATCAAAAAGATTAAGAGTAAAAACTCATCAAATCAACTCTGTCGTATCGAAATATCCCCGGACTGAACCACAAGCCCAGACTCAAAGCGAGTCCAGGTAAGTCCAGCACCAAGAGAAATGAAATAAGATGCAAAAGAACATCACCACCATCATCAAACAACCTGACTCCCCCGTCGACTCCCAGCCCTCGACCCTTCTCCAGCCTTAACAGTTCTCTGACTGGCCTTGGAAGCCTGACTCGCCCCATCCCCGTGGTCATCAGCCCTAGAACTCTTCGACCGATGCGACCGATGACGATGCGTATGCGATCCAACCTGACTAATGGAGTCATCCGGCGAGACCACTGAGTCAACATCCAGATCCGCCACGCTCTCGGGAAGCGGGACATTCCTTGCAGACAGATACGAGTTCCCACCGTCCTTGCTGTGGATACTCGAACTGGAGTAGTATGTAGCGCTTGAGCCAGCGGGGAGGGGGATATTGCGCGCCGAGCGGGAAGACGATGCAACGCTACCGTTGTCCTTGCCGACGTGCGAGGAAGAGCGCACCGAGGCGGCGCGGTACGAGTGCGTGCTTTGCTGGCTCTTGTGCGAGCGCTGCGAGACAGTCGACTCGTACCCGTCGTGGTCGTCGTGGCTGTTACGTCGGTGTGTGCTCTGCGACGCTTTGATCGTTGACGAGCTGTGCACGCTGCTTGGCCCGCGGGTCTTCTCTTCGTGGAAGCTGCTGATGAAGGTTGAGGGCGCGCAGGCGTAGCGTTGCTGGGAGGCGTTGCTGGCCGGTGGGTACTCGATTGCCCGGAGCGGGATGTCTTCTGGGATGCTGTAGATGCTGCCTTCTGAGGCGCGCCGGGGGTTGTCGTGCATGTACTCGGTGCCGTCGTAGATTGTGCTGGCGCGGGGGTTCTTGGAGGTTACGCTGCGCGTTAGGGTTGAGCGTGGGTTTGAGGCGGTGGTGTAGGCGCTGCGAGGTGGTGGGGGTGCTTCGATGGCGCGGTATTGGGATTGTTGGTCGTCGTTGCCGAAGAAGGATTGCGCCGCGGCTTTGAGTTGGGGGAAGCTGCTTGCGAACTGCATTGGCTGTTCGGGTTCCTGGATCGTTGACTGGGAGTCGCCTTTGACCATTGCGTAGGCGATGGCGGCACCTGCCGCGGCGCCAAGGAGCGTGCCCACGATAGTCTTCGCTGCTTTGCTGCCGTCGTCGCTTTGTGGCGGTGCGGGAGCTTGCATGGTGTATGACGGCGGGGGTGGGGCTTGGAATTGGCGAGAGACGACTGTTGGTGCAGACCGCTCATAGGTTGTAGGTGCCTTGGAAATGGCACGAGACTTGGCCTCTGATCGGGCCTCAGATCGAGCTTCGGACCTTGCTTCAGATCTTGCTTCAGATCTGGCTTCAGATCTGGCTTCAGACCTTGCCTCAGACCTTGCCTCAGACCTTGCCACGGATCTGGTTTCGGACATGGCCTCAGACCTGGGGGGTGCGATGCTCTCTGTCTTGATCGTGCTAGCTTTGCTGCTTGCCTTTGAGACCACAGAGCGGCTGGAACCCTCCAGAAGAGCCATCGTCGGACCGCTAGCCTCTGATATAAGCGAGGCATTGCTGGGCCGGTACACAGCTTCAATGCTGTTGCCGTCGAAGTCGATGACGGCTGCACTGAAGTACCCCGATTGCGAATCTCGCATCTTGGGTTCGCCGTGGATCTTCGCGCCCGCTTTTAGGGCGCTTATGAAGAACGAGCCGACTGCGTCTTTCGACGGGGCTGGAAAGGCGACATGGACTGCACCAGGAGGAGATCTTGGGTTCGGGTTAGCTTTGGTTGAACGATTGAGTGTATTTGGGTGTTTCTTTCTAAAGATCACTCACCCAGGCTTAGTCTCGGTCATCCAGAAATCAGCAGGTTCCCCCTGCTTCTGACCGAACCCTATATAGTCGTCATGCCTGCCAATGAATTGGTATCCCAATGGCTGTAAACATGATAAGAAGAAAGAGGTGGAGGTTGGGAGGTGAGAGACGGTCAGGGTGATATGCGAAACAGGCATTGCGAAGGTTTGAAGTCGACGTGCCTGGATTACCGGCACGTACACAGAGTAGAAAGAATGGGGATATGAAAAACGAAGGTGGATGGAAAGGAAGAGAGAGAGATTAAATGGAACCGGTAAAGATATATACGGTGAGGGAATCCAAGTCTATAACCAGATCTATGACGCCAGGAAACGAGGCCACATGAACAGTTCCCCAAGAGCCAGTTAGAATAAATGCTGCGTGACTCTAATCCAAAAACAGAGACGGAATAAACTAGCAGCTTCCAAAATCCTGCCCAAGCTGGTAAAAAAAGGGGTCATCCAGAACACCGCATGTCCCCGATAGTACGTTGGTGGACACTTGAGGACGTGTGATTTTTGTATGGAGTCAGGCAAGTGGGGTTCAGAGACGATTGGCCAACCGATCAAGTCAATGCTCAGAGTACCCGATCTGCACGGGACAGTTGAAACAGTCCAAGAGCGAGGCGTGTTCAAGGCCCAAACCCATCCTCCGTACTTTGTACTTGGTGAGAATAGAAAGAAAGTCAGTCTGTACGGAGTACTTCCAACAGCACCGTAGTCAGAGCAGAGGCCGTTCCTGTTCCTGGCTGCTTTGGGATATCTAGGGGCCCAACTTCGTGCAGAGTGAAACGCTCTATGGCTGGAGGGGTGCAGATGGGTCCCTGCCAGGTCATCGCGGGGAGCCAATGTGGATTCCTGTTGGCGGATGGGGCGTCTGCTCTGGATGCCCTGAGCGAGGTGCAGGAGCCTATCGACGTTAAGTGGGTTTTTTGCTTACTTGTTCCTTTTCTGTGAGCAAATGGTAGACTTTCGAGTGGAGGGGAGAAGAAAAGTCCTGCCAGGTGGACTTGGGTAGATGTGCTGACCGCTACGGGGTTGAGTCATACAACAGGACGTGGTACGTTGAGAATTTTGAGACGGTACTTTTTTATGGGTGATTTTTGAAGTATCAAGGTAATAATATGATTTCTATAGAATAATTACTTGAAAACTACAATATATCTATAATATAGCCAAATGTAACCAAATATAACCAAATATACGATGGGCAGAAGTGCATTTCATATCGCCACTCTTTGAATCCGATTCGCACGTTCAAAGTGAGGCGAGGCTAATTGCATGCCACGTCAAGGATTAGGACTACTTGGAGATTATTAGTAGACTAGAGAAAAAAAAAACCATTGGAGAGAAGAAAGAAGTAAAAAAAAAATAAAAAAGCCATATTTTTATTGAACACAGAAGTTGAAGATATGTGTACTCAGGAATCCCAAACTAATGGACCCTGATCTATGTGCTGTTCACTTTTTCTTTTTCTGGTCTACACATCACAGCAAGGTTGAAGCCGGATGGAAGCAAGAATGGATCAAGGACTGGCGAAAAGGAACCAAATGCCATCCGACCCGTAACGTATGGGGAAAAAAGAACCAGCTCTCTAAACCACTTGGGATGAATCCCGATGCTTGGTAGCTGTCCCAGTATCCAGTATTCCCAGATTCCCTAGAACAAAATCGAGAGATATAGAAAGGTAGAGAGAACTGGGCTTAAATAACAGCCGAAATACTCCAAGGACAGACATATGCAGAGCTATGCATACCTTCGTTCTGCAAATCAATCCCCATAAAAAAAAAAGTGTGGCAAATGTGCCGTCAGTATAGACGACAAGGACGCGCGCTCTCTGGGCGCGATTTCTTTCTTTTTTTTTTTTAATCGGGTTTCTCAGAGGATATCCCAGACCTCTTCGGCAGCGTGGCAGAACTTGCTGCAGGCAACACTGGCACTAAGACTGTAGTTGCTGATACTGATAGTTTCGTCCTTGAAGGAGTCGGCAAAGTCATCGTGACCCTTGGCCATGGCACCGACGAAAATAGCAACACTCTCGTTGGGGTTCAGCGACTCGAGATAGTCCTTGGTGCGGACCACGGGCGCCTCGAAACTCATGGTCACCTTGCGGCAGTTGGGGGGCAAGTGGTCGGTGATCGGGTTCTTAATAACCTTAAGGAGCTTTTCCTGCGAGTTGGTCGAACGGATGGAGAGTCGGTGGAGCAACTGGACCATCAGACCGGCGAACCGCTTGAATGTTCTCGGAATGCGGACGGAAGGATTGACTTCGATCAAGACACCCTTGGCGGTGTGAATGAAAATTTGGAGCCGACCGGCCTTGTTCACGGGGGAATCGAGGAGAGTGAGCAAACACTACGGAAAGTTAGTGGGTATTCTTTTTTGACCTTTATATTGCCACTGGCGATGTTGAATCGTACCTGGTGGGTAATATCTGGTCGGGCTTCACTGATATCGCGGTTCATTTTGCGCATGATACCAATGTGCTCGTCGCTGTTCAATAGAGAAAACTTCTCATCCTTGGTCCCGGAGCGTCCGCTGGAGACAGCCTTATAGGTTTCCAGACTGGCATTGGAGAGAACCACAATCAAGCGTTGGGTGTCCTTATCATGGGATGGAATTGGCACATGCTGTTCGGCGACCAGCTGGGGGAGCTCGGGAGGAGGGCATGACTGGGTCCCTGGAGGTGAGATGTTAGACATATTGAAGTTCAAGACGATGAGAATTGCGATTTAGGCGCGGGGAGGGGTAAAGGGAAAAGGAAAATTGTGACAGATGTGGCTGGGATGTGATCCGAGGGGATTGGTGCCCAGCGACATGTCACACAGGCCAAATCAAAATTGATTCTGGAAGGTTGATGTTGGATTGTGATTCGAGTGTAGTTGCGGAGAGGGAAAAAAAAAATCAACCCGAATAGTGATGAGATTGATATAAAGCAAGGGGGAGACATGAAAAGCGAATTAGATACTTACTCGCACGCTTTCTCTTTCCAGCAGCTTGTTCTTGATCGGACATTGTGGTTGGTAGTATATTGGTAAAATGTTGTTGAGTTGAAGAGTTTTTGAGGGAACTTTCTCGGGGAGAAAAAAGCGGCCCCCAGGAAACGGAGACTCGGAGTCAGCTGGTAGAATGGTAGAATTAGATAGAATCTTGACTCTGCAGGGTTTAGGATGTTTTCTTTTCTTTTTCTTTATAAATTGGAGTGTGCTTGTATTCTTGAGAGTTTATATATATTTAAATGACAGAATAGCCAAGTACTATAGTAAATAACATAACCAATAGCGTGTCCGTGACTTCATATACTATGAACTTAGGATATAGTTTCTACTCAGAGTCTTCAATTGTCTTGGAAATTCCCTTTTAATGTTAGCTCCAACGGTTAGTGCTTAGTGCCCCTTGTTAGCAGAGAGATCGACACCCGGGGACTATAACCCCCCAGTTGTGCCGTTTACGGAGTACAAGGGACATGCCCAGGTGTTTATAACTAGGATGTAGCGTTTGAACCAGCCACAATATGCCGAAAGCCACATCAAGGCTTCTCTTTTGTACAATGATAGGTCCAACGTCCCAGCTTTCAACAATAGCGTCTCACAAGAATATATCAGCCTATGCTGTTTGAGACTATTTACTCCGTACCTCTGGACTAGACCCTGGCAAATTGGCAAGTTTGGCACAGTACTTCCTGGAACACAATGAATACCACTGGAGGGTTTGGTTATACCAGATGATGAGGATGTGTAACATTCTCTGCATAAAATCGGGGTGGTGACTCATAACAAACAGATCTGACTGGTTCATGTCCAACATTGCCTCTTAGGGGGCAGCGTACTCCGTACACAGAGAGGCTCCTATCCAGTGGATGAGAAGGCTCAGCACGGATATCAATACCATGAATGGATCAGAATGGATCAGAATGGCAAAGGTGGGACAAGGAAGCTTTATCACCAGGGCAGCAAGTCTGAGGGCCCTGAACAAGGAGCAGCTCTTCTGGCAATCATTCGCTCTAAGACATTTTTGCTCATAATTGTAGCTTGTGACGGCACTCTCGGCTGTGAAGATGGATCCCCGCGGTCCGGTAGCGACCGGAATGAATGTGTGTCATGTAGGCTCCAGCACTAAATGCTCATCTTTGCACGATGCTTTGCACGATGACATGCTAAACGATCCGTTGCCACCGAGTCTGTGTGAAATCTGGGGGACTAGGCCTCCCATATGTCGATAGGTGTCCTCGTAACCTGGCTCACATCAAACCAATCACTTGACAAGATCGAAGATCTCTATCGGGTCTTGACCCAATCAGCACCGGAATAGTTCGTGTTGGGTTGGCACCAAGCGCCCCGGTGTATATTTCCTGAAATGAAAACAATGTAACCTGTAACCTGTAACCTGTAGCTTGTAGGCGCTGAGAGTTGTGAAGCCTAAAGCATTAGAGCGGTCAATGAGGATCATCACAATTCCAACGCGCTTCCTTGCACAATGCAATACGCAGAAGACCTTACTGGTCATGGAAGCCTTACACCTTGGCAATCACAGGGCCAAGGGGGGCTCAGGAGAGCGTCATCTTTAATCTCCCGATGAGGTAGACTTTGACCAGTGGAACAAGATATTTTCATTGGTTGAATTTAGAGATTGGAGCCTGTCTCCCAACTGCCAACTGCCAATTGTGTACTTCGTACGGAGTACATGATTATATTATTGTGAATCAATCAAGAAAGGGGCGAGGGGAAAAAAATGAAAAAGAAGTGCCCGACATACCAACCACAGGAATTTGACAAGGCTGGTGTGATTGTTATTTGTTAAACGCCGTTTATCTGCACATTTGCACATCTTCACATCTTCACTCTTTCTCTTGACTCTGTTTCTCTTCCTCATTTCTCCTTGGTCCGGTATTAATCCCGGCTGGTGGCGAGACTCTCCTTTTTTTTTATTATTGATTTTTTTTTTTACAAAAACCCAGCTCTCCACCAGAAAACCGGTGATCATTTATTTCTATTTCATGTTCCATTTCCTACTTGGACTTGAAACTTCCTTTTAAAATCCAAAAGAAAAGCACCAAAACACCAAAACATCGTCGATCAAAAGCCCTTGGGAAGCTCAGCTCCGAAGGTAAGTGATTAGTCAGACCATTCCATGGTTCGCCGAAACAATATGACCTAAAACAGACTAGCGTTCCACGCGTGTCAAGCTCGACTTTCTTCAACTTCCTCATCCCACCTTGAGAAGGCATCTGCCCTGAGCAAATTTTGGAAAACAGTCAGGGTCATGCCGTGGACAGTTACCAATTCATTTAAGAGGTATGTCTGTTTTTTTCTTCCAATTTACAAGGGGTGACCTAACATCCCCACTTCAGAGGCCTGATGAAAACTTACGGACGACCAACATGGCGCGTCTATGACGATGAGCGCGTCGCAAAGAAAAGACGCGTGGATGAGTCCGATGAAGCTGAGGCCAACCTGCAATATGCCATCCGCGAGTCTTCAGCTGCGGTGCTGTCAAGCCCGTCGCGTCGCAACTCCTTGTTATCGGAAGGCACGCTCGATGATATTGACGATCTCACCACACCACCGTCGTCGCCACCTCCACGGTTAACCCCACCGCCAGCGAACACCCGCAAGCCCACATTTGCCTTTCTCAAGCGCAAGCACAAGGAAGTTACGACCGGATCGCCCTTGACAGAGGTTAACTCCAATAGCGTACGCGCATCCGTGGACCCACCCAAGCAAAAAGGTCAAAAACAACCCGTCATGCGCCAGATGCAGATCGACCTCGGAAATGATACACGAAAGACCTGTGCTACCTGTGGTATGGAATATATTCCTTCCAATACGGAGGATGCGGCACTTCATAAAAAGTTCCACGAGATGAATGCGACTGGGATTGACCTGGGCAAGGCATTTATGCGTGCCAACGCCTCACGCTGGGTTTACGAAGCGACTCGATTCGACGAGGGATATGTGGTAATTGTGGACCGCAAGGCGTCCCCCAGTGCGAAAAGCCAAGCGAAGAAGGTCCTCGAGGTTGTCAATAAAGAGCTCTCATCACCGGAAATCGACGACGAGACCCTCTGGAGCCAAACGGAACCGCCCAAACATTTGCAGGATGGTCCGACCGAGAAAGTAGATCGGTACCGGGTCTTCCTGCATATGAAGGACAGTCGCTGTGTTGGGCTCTGTCTGACCGAGCGCATCTGGGAATCGCGACCGGTGGTGAAGGAACCAAATGGCGACGCACACAACGGATCCTCCGTCTCGACGCGAGATGAAGTCCGCCCGGCCATTGTCGGAGTCTCTCGCATCTGGACCTCCGGGTCCTCACGACGAAAGGGAATCGCGTTGGATCTCCTTGACTGTGTGGTCATCAACTTTATTTACGGGATGGAAATAACAAAGGCTCAAATTGCATTTAGCCAGCCCACGGAAAGTGGCAATTGTCTGGCACATAAGTTTTTCGAGGGTGAAGAGACATGGCATGTCTATAACGAGCGGTGATGGGGGCACTTGAATATGGGAGGATCTTTTATTATTATTTCACAGCAATGGGTGAGGCATATTGGGGGGCTTGGCTTGTATTCTCTGGAGAGCGTTTTTTTTATTTTTTATATGCTTCTGTACCATACCTGTACCCTTTTCCCATGTACAATAGGGAGCTGGGACGCATTCGTTTCAATATTCCAATTTGACTGAACTATTTATTATCCTAATAATCCTAATCGTCCTAATAATCCTAGTATAAGAACCATTTGTACGGAGTACTCCGTACTCCGTACGTTAATGCATTTTCATCCAAGCCTCTCGGGGGAACCGGAGTCGATCTCGGAAAGCGGCGCGTAGGTAACTAAGAAACCTCATGGATCAGAAACTCGGCGGGGACCCCTCAATTTTTCTCTTCCTTTTCTCTCTATTCTAACATATTTATTCTCGCAATGTCTAGATCAAATCCCTTTCGCCCTAGAAATCCGGGTGAGTACTGTTTTCCCTCTTTCCCCCCCTTGAGCCTTCCCCGGCAACACGGGGAAATCATCCCCAACATGGCGCTGATGAATCCGGATATACAGGCAATCCCGCAGATCCATTGCCTACCAACTCGGGCACTTTTGCCTCTGTTTTGCCCTCCAAGCCTTTATCCACTCCACCTATACCCCCGAACGTTTACCCCGCCAAGTCGTCGATCTCGCTCGAACGCGAGGTAGATGACTCGAGCTCCTCAGACGAAGAGACAAACCCATTCAATCTGGTTGTGTCTGCGACCGATAGTGAGGACGAAATCAATCGATACAAGAGCTCAGCTCCTCACGAGGATGATCGACCACGAGAATCTTTTGGGTCAGCTCCACACCCAGCTCCATCAACAGATGGATCCCCAATATCACCCGACCACAACATGCGGTCTGCAACAGGTGCAGAGAGCTCTTATGCAGGACGTCCTGCAGCACGGTCGTCTCTAGAGCTTGACGCAAGCAGCCCTTCTGGTCGAGCCAAAGACAAGAAGCCGCCGCCTCCGCCTAGAAGTCATCACGGCCGCAGAATTGGCTCTACAGCCACCGCAGAATCCTCCCAGACCGCCCGGTCCCGGTCTACTAACCGCCTGTCAATTCATGGCTCATCTGGGAATATAACGCCCGGCGCCTCGCATCCCAGCTCTGTATCTCTATCATCAGCTGCGGACTACTTCTCAGTCCCAGGAGCGACAGGGTCGACGGACTCGCTCCAGCGCAGCCAATCTCAGAATAAGCGTCCTCCGACGCCACCTCTCAGTCGGCGACACAGTCAGATGCGGAGATCCAAGTCTACACAGTCCAAAACTAGTAGCAGATTAAATATTTCTTACGATTCGGAGAGCAATGATAGTTCTCTGCCTCCCAGTCCGGGACCTTCCAGTCGGGCGCTGCAAAACAAGAGAATCAGCATGCCTCCGCCATCATCGGGGGATTTCCAGGCGACTGTCCCGTTGGGAGATATCTCTCTGAACCTGTCTCCCCCAACTAACTCCAGACCATCATCACTGAAGGCTGGGCG